TATATATATATATATATATATAACACACAGACACACACACACACACACACACACACACATAAAGATCTTTTCAACCTACAAACATGAGTTTTTGGATCTGGTTCATGAAAACCTGGTGGTTGTTCTATGTGGACCTCTTCGATTAGCTTTTTCATGTAAAAAGACATTCTTAATATCCAATTGACAAGAAACTAACCATAGGGTAAAATAAGGGAACTAACCACCTGAACTGTTACCATCTAATAACATGGTTAAATGTTTCATTACAATCAAGTCCATGTTGTTGATTAAACCCTTTTGCAACCAGCCTTACTTTAAACCTTTACACATTGCCATCTGACTTGTACTTCACTTTATAAACCCACTTGCAGCCCAAATTTTTTTTTTTTTCTGCATGTCTGAGAACTATCTCCTAAGTCTTTTGATGTACGTAGCCTTCTACCACAGCCTTTATCCACCGCCTATCTTTTCTTGCCTCAAGATAAGTTCTGGGCTATTTGATTTTGAAAATTTGACACATAAAAACTTGAAAACTATGAGTGAAGGTGTTATAACTTACTCCTGTGTGCATTTTAAGTGTTTCTCTTGAATTTCAACTGGCCAATTTTATTACTGACCTTCACCCCTTCCTTTTTGGCATACTATAATTTCCTTGGCTGATGTATGAGGGTCTTCCATTTTATGAGAGTCTTCACTTGGGATTATGAGGGTCTTCATTTGGACTATATTCTTCTGCTATTCACATCTTCTTCTTTGGTATATTATAACATCTTTGGCTGATTTATGAGGGGCTTCAAATTTATGAGAGTCTTCTTTAAATCCTGGTCCATATATTCGATGAACTCCTCCCCAAGTCTAGGAAGAGTTTCATTAATTATTTCCCCATCAAGACTCTGCTGCTCACCACTTCTGTCTACATCTTTATCAACAAAAAATGGTCTCTTGTCTACACCTTGATTCATGGGTCATCAATGAATTTCATGATGCAATGGCACTTTCCTTTTACTTGAATCACCTACATTCGTAAAACAAGGAGGCATATACATCCTTCCTTCATCAAAGCTTACATGTCTCTAGATATGTATCCCTTGCATTCATCATCATACCCTCGAAAAACACATATGTTTGCCTTTGGAGACAACTTATTTCTCTGGCTTTTGTCAATATGTACATACAAAACGAGCACCATGTGGAATACTCAGGGTCCCTTTCTGATCCCTGGACCAGTTGCATGCTCTCCTCTCATTCGAGGTAAACATCTGCCTCAACTGGACTCTCCTTGAATGTATGCTACCTAAGCATAGGTACTAGGTAGTAAATCTCGTGACTCTGGACCTTACAATCTCTTTCTTTAAAAAACTACGCATCATGCTGAGGGTGAGGGCGTGGCTACAAATGAAAGTTGTAACTGACTTTGCCTTCTTAGCTACCCCTGAAATATCGTGCTAACCGCCAAGAGCCTCAAGAATGAGGTCTGTACAGTGTGTTGTGCATGGTGTCCAAAAGATACTAGGTTAAGCTATGCGCAACAAATTAGCAACAACAACATTAGGAGTAGCATTATCTGTGACAACCTGTATAACATACTGCTCCCCAACCTCCTTGATGCCCTTCTATATCACTTGTAATATGTAATAGGCATCATGGCTATTATCAGAGGCATCAATAGACCTTAAAAAAATGGTCCCTAAAGGACAATTCACTACGAAATTCATCTGACTTCTTCTCTTATCACTCCTCCAAGTATCAGTCACGACATAAACCCCATACTGAGCCCATGCATCCTTTTGTGATTCCACAATCTCCCTCATGACATTCACCATTTTTTTCAAAAGAAGCTCTAAAAGCTCACATGGGGTTAGGGCCTTCAACCTAGGCCCAAATTGGGCAATTACCTATACCAAAGTGTAGAAGCTGCTTAGACGAGCGGCATTGAAATGAATGCCTGCCTCATAAAAACATCTAACAATGTATTGTGCAGCTCTATCTTTTTCTTCCTTCTTGATTCTATTCTCAATAGTTGTTTGCTTCTTTGTTTTCTCTCCTGCAATCTCAGGGCCAAGCTGGGGTAAAAAATAATCCATAGACCCTCTAATCTGAGGCCTTTTATGCCCCCCACTCCCAGAACCAAGTACAACTCCCTTTTCGTTCCCCCTATTCTGGGATACAACACGTTGTTCCAACTCTTCACCCCTCCTGATCACTATCATCATCATCAAAATTGACACGAAACCCACACCTCAGCTCTGTTATGGAAGCCTCTCTCTCATCTTTTTTCTTTTTTACAATATTCATATAATTTTTTATCTCCTCTCTAATAGCAATAAGAACTTTTTTACATGGGGCAATCCTCCCTGATATCACAAGATGTTTATACCCCCATCTGTATCCTTTTCACAATAATTGCATCTTATGCAATTTTAATTTAAAGGATTTGGGTTATATCCATATTTTCAACGCAGATCACCTTCTATTAGATCTTGAAGAACATATCTTAAAATGATTCAAGGAATCCAAAAAAATAAAAATTTTCACTAATTTTGATGGCTTGATCTCCAAACTTCCACCTTTGGGATGTTTTTTAATATCAAAATCTTCTAGAAATCCCTTTAGTGGACCTATAAAATCTCCAAAACTAAATCTAATCTCAATGGGTAATGTTTGGATTGATTTCTCGTAATTTTGAGAAACCCTTCGATACTATAGAAATCACAAAAATCTAGTTTTTGAGGTTTCTATCTCTTTAAAATGGGCTCTAATGGGGTTTAGCTTTGAAATAAACCGAAACACTTGTTTTTACAATCTTATATTTATCAAAACAACCCAAAAATACCCCTTAATGAGGGGCATTTCGCCCCTGGGTGGGGCGCAGGCCTTGGGTAGCCGCCTAGGGTTGGGCATTGGGTGCCCGCCTAGGCAGGTGACCAGGGTAGACCGTCCATTTTGGCCACCTAGGCTTGGGCGAGGCCCCCTTGCCCACCTAAGCGCTAGGTGGGCCACCTTTTGGAACACTGCTTGTATTATAATAAATGTAATGTTACATCTAAAGTAAGGACATATTTGCGCTTATATATTGCAACAAATGACTGTATAATAGAAGCCATTTAGAATACACGCAAGTTACAGAACTTCCATTCATTGCATTCTAACTATAGTTACTGGAATCTCTCCACCGACTTCGCGATTCCGGTTCCGAAACCTGATTCTGCGTTTCCATTAAGGAATCTCCACGAAAACCATTTTTTGGAACCAAGGAAACTCTATTCCTTAATTTCGGAATCTCGATTCACATCTTCAGAAATTATATTTTAGAACCAAGGAAACTCGATTCCTTAATTTAGGAATCTAGATTTAACACATCTTTAGAAACCCTTTATCGAAACCAAGGAAACTTGATTCCTTAATTTTGGAATCTTGATCGAACACATCTTTAGAAACTTGAACCCATTAATTGTGGGTAAAAAGAAAACCAATTCAAAGTACATAATGTCCAATGTCTATGATGGTTGTGCACTTCCTAAAGGACATTGGAGTAGATATCTTCCTTCGAATGTTTCTAGTGGTTGTAGGTTTTCATTATTTTACTTGTGCCACCCTAGACAGCTTTTACTTTAAATTTAAAATATAATTGGTAAATACAGCATGTACAATTAAAAGTAAAACCATGGCAATATCCTATTTTGTTTTTATAATAATGAAGTCAAAATCACAAATTAGGAATACTTATCTTTTGTATATAATGACCATAAGTTCAATAGTCAACACAATCACTTCAAAATTTGGGAAGCCTTTTAATAAGAGACATCGAATATAGGTTCTAAAGTTGATAAGGCTCAAGATGTGCTTGGGGCTTCCTTCTCCATTAAAATGAAATCTCGATTCTTAGTAGGGGTCATCAAACGCATTCCATAGTTCATATTATTGTAAATCTCAATTTCAAACTGGCATGGATCTCTGATCCATGTACTTCAAAAACTTGATTCCAAATATGTTAGAATCACGATTTGAAACAGCAACATATCTTTGTTCTATATATGTCAGAAACTGGATTCCATAATTCCATAGATGTCGGAAACTCAATTCCGCATATTAATGAATCTTGACTCCTAGAGTGTCAATTCCAGGGGATAAGAATCTCGATTCCAAGGATGACGAAATCTCGATTCTATATGTGGATGAAACGTGGATCTATTTCGGTCGAAACACGATTCTCAAAAACTAGAAATCTCGTTCCCTGCGATTCCTATTGTATGAACGACGATTCGTAATACAGGAATCTTCTAGCCAGCGGCGATTCCGGTTCCTAAAACTATTCGGTTCCCAGACGTTTCCAACAACTATGATTCTAACACAAACATCTCCAGTGGATTCCTCATATGCACACACTGAGAGTCATCCTAATTGCAAAAACCTCATACTTAAGCACGCAGGTGCCCTTCTGTTTGGACAAAAATCTCTCATATCAAGTTGTTGGCTTTTCGACTTTTGGAGCATTTTCTTATTTTTCTAATTTTAATCAATAGAAAGTTTTTGGAGATTTTGACCTCTAGGGTAACTGTCAAGAAGTGTTCATGTGACTATGGTCTAATGCTCGTTTATAAGGTATCTCCACACATGGGTTGCAATTTACAGAGTACAAGAACTACATATGCAAAGAAGAAATTCATAAATATGCTTTGTGAATATCAAGTAAACATATTATTATGATCAACCATTTGTTTTTTGTTTGGATGAGCTAACGTACTCATTGGTTCAAGGATCACCTTTTCATTTGTACTAATATTAACAATAAGCATATTCTTCTGATCAATCCATTTGTTCATATGTTTGAAGGAGCTGATTTACTCGTTGGTCTAAGGATCACTTATTACTCAGTTGTTTAAGGATTACATTTACTCATTGGGTTCTGTTTTTAATTCTTGGGAAGCACAATTTTTTATGACAGTATGCAAATCTTAGCCTTCAACTGACTTTCTAATAGACTTGTTTTTCTTGACGTGTTAAGCCTCTTGAAGATGCAACAAAGACTACAAGCATCATCATTGAGGCATTGAAAGATACTGGACAACGAGGAATTATTGGAAAGGGGTGGGGTGATCTCGGAAATCGTAAGTTTTAAAAATCTTACATGATGATTTTTACATGTGTATGTCGTCATTTATTCATCTACTTTATGGTTCTTGTTTGATGTCATGGTTGGATTTTCCCATACTACCATTTGCATAAGCAGAAAGTTTCATTTTTCCTAAATATCTAATGTGCTAATTCATGCTTATTGGTGTTCCTGTTTGATTTCACAAGTTAACATTGAATTGATGTTTCATGGAATTTTTTTTTGGGTACCTATCCATGAACCTTATGTTTTCTTAGTTACAAATTATTCTTTTCTTTTCCATAATTTACTAATAAGTTCAGTTACCCAATGATTGCGTGGTGTTTGAGAAGAAACTGACTGCTTTAGATATGGCCAAAGTTTTCTCCTAAGAGTTAGGATATCTGATTGGGACATTCCATATTAATGTATCTTCATTAAATGCAGTTCACCTTTAATGCAGATAACTTGTTGATTCTTCATCATCATCATCATCCAAGCCTTATTTAAATTATTTGGAGCCAGCTACAAGAATCTTGTTCCGCCATTCTGCTCTATTAAGGGTCATACCTCAGTGAGACCATAAGGCACCATATCTCTTTTCACTACTTCCATCTATGTCCGGGCCTTTCCTTGCCCTTTTAGAGCCTTTCACTTAAACCATTGGGGATTCATGAAAAGATATGGCAAAATTTTATGCTAGCTGCCCTACCTAACACAACCCTTCTCCTTGGGACCGGCCATGGTGGAGATATAATTTGTAATTTCCAATTGAAATTCATCGCCTCTCCTACTCGCATAGGCTTTCTTGGTGTGACAGTAGGTTGGACGGACATCATCATCATCATCATCATTATTATTGGAGACTTATCCCAACGATTTGGGCTTGGCTGCATGAATTTTATTTCGCCTATTCTGCTTTATTCAGGGTCATACTCTCAATCAAACTTTAAGTCAGCTTATCTCTTCCCACTACACTATCCATGTCCTTTTGGGCATTCCCCTTGCCCACTTAGAGCCGATGTGTGATAAAATATCATATGGCCTTCTGGGGATGACTTCCCACACTGCAAGGCATTGAGAGCAGATCCTATCAATTTTATTTAAAATGCTTTTGCAAAGTCTAAAGTGAATGGTAAAGAAAAGACATTGGTTTTTACTTCTCACAATGCTGGCAAAGTTGCAACTAAAGGAAATGTGTTGTACTGTCATTTGAGCAATTTTCTGCAAAAAGCAAAAATACATTTTTATGGCGCCTTCAGCATTGCTTATGGAGTAGATTAACCAACTTTGTCATGATTTCCTTGAGTTTACATTTCACCTATTTATCTTATGAAATCATTATCCCAAGTGCTGCTTCCCTTTTGTAACCTTGTCTGTTTTCTGTGTTGCAGTTATTGAAGTACCAGAAAGTGTTTTTCTTCTAAAGGACTGCCCGCATGACTGGTTGTTTCCTCTTTGCTCTGCTGTTGTAAGTTGCTCTCGCCTTACTATTAATGATTTCCTGATACTAACCTTTAAAGATGGCAATGACAATTTCCAAATTGAGTTTTTTCCCCCATATGTTGAAGAAATGGCATTTACTGAAATCTTAAAACGAACTTGGCCTGGCCTTGAGCTAGTTGACTTGGTAAAGTCCCATGCTAAATTTTTGCAAACATTCAAGTTTTCATACTGAGTGCCATGTGAAATAATCTTTGATTCTCCAATGAAATTCTAAGCTGACACTAACCACCTCTTATAAAAATTATTTAGCACTTTGTTCTGGCCCATCATGCTTCCAAGTACTTTTAACTATCATGTATGCTGAATGTCTTTTACAGTTACAACATGCATTTGTTATGTACGTATGTACTTTCCTCTGCATTTAAGCATGCACAAACATTGGTTCCATGCTTCCAATCAGTGGAATATATGCTCCTTTTCTGATGCTAGTCTCCTTGATCCTGGATGCTTCCAGCCCTAGATTGTGAGCCCTGGGATGCAGTTGCTCAATTTGATGTTACCAGGTCTAGTTTTCATATTCATATTAGGAATGCTGACATGACTCATGAATATCATTACTTAAAATGAAAATCTTTGCTTTGAGATCTTTACTATTAATTTATCTGAAAAAGTGCAATCCAGTTTATGTTTTACCTTGCCTAATGATCTATGATGTCCAGGTTCATCATGGTGGAGCTGGTACAACAGCCACAGGCTTAAGGGCTGGGGTAATTTTCATTTCTTTTAGTTATCTCTTGCCCACAGTTGCATACTTCTGTGTTGCATGATGTTGAACTTAACAGAAAGTATAGATCTTCTATTCACACACCATAACAGGACAATATGCAGGTTCAACAACTAGAGAAAGGATGAAAATAACCCAAATGCAGGCATACAAGAAATAGAGAACAAAAATAGACAATTATACCTAGTCACAGATGCAATGTGCAAAGCTTAGAGAAGTCTTTAAAAAGGATTATTGAAATAGTAGTATTTAAAATATGGAATTCATCCTAACATCATGACTCAATAGATCTTGACAGTAAGTTCGAGGATAAGTTAAAAAATTTCAAAGTGTGTGTGGGCGCACATGCACGTGTATGTTTCCTAAGCTTTAGAGGCCATTGTGGTCTGAAAAAATGGTTTAAGATTTAGAATAGTGGCCTTTATTTGCCCTTGGTTTTGCATGGTTGGGCTTAATTATAGTTGATTCAGCCAAATAGGATGATTCAAATTCCAATGGACCTAATGTGGATCCTATCAGCCCATTTTCAGGCTTATTTTTTGGGGGATTGAGAAGTATTTGAACATTTGGGCTATGAAATGTTCCAATCTAATTCAGTTGAATCAGATGACAATGATCCTTTCTTTAGAAGCATTGCTTGGGAATTTGGAATTCATCTAGTGCATTATCTCTTTTTGTTTCTCTTTTTGTTGAATATTTATTGTTTATTTTGTCTTAACTGTGGCAGTGCCCAACAACAATCATACCATTTTTTGGTGATCAGTTCTTCTGGGGTGATAGAGTCCATGAAAAAGGGGTTGGCCCTGCACCAATACCAATATATGAGCTCAGCGTGGAACGGCTTGCAAATGCCATAAGATTTATGCTTGATCCAGAGGTAATTCTTCCAAGTATGCTATTGCAGTGGTGACTTTAGTGCTGAGTTATGGAAACATATCTACATTGATCAGCCTTCTTGTCTTATTACTCAGAAGCTTAAACTATTATTCTATATCTTGATTATTTTCTTTGTTCGGTGTTTGAATTCATAGTGAGAAATTTTATATGATTTCTAAAGTTTATGCTGTTTGTTTTAACCAAAATCGTGCTGCATCAGTATATTTTCCCGTATGTTTTTTCTTGTGAGATTTCAATATGAAAAATTGTTTATTATTGCGAAATCATATCAACAAGGATACATTAAACTATAAAAATAAATGACATAACTTCTCCACACCTTTGTGCTAGCAGAGCTTAGGTCCAAATGAGCACACTAGTAATGAATTCCCTGCATGCTTATGATCAATTATTGGTGTTTGATTTGTTTTAATCACGCAATCCGAAACTGGATTCTTGGAAATTCAGATTGACCCTCATAATGAAGCATTTGCTAAACTAAATATTTAAAAGATTATTGAATTTCTAAATTCTTAAAAATGGTACACCAATAATTGCATAGTGTGAATAAAATGGGTGCACTATGCAATTCGAAATAATATTTCAGTTCAACTGTCACTGTTGTAACTGTTGAGAAAAATTAATTGGAAAGAGAAAATCAAACCAGCAGAAGTCAAAGTTCAAACGACACAGAAAAAAACCAGATTTACATGGCTCACATTTTGCAGAAGTTATGTCCATAGAAGAAGTTTGGCAAGTCCATTAGTCACCAAGAAAGCCTGTGTACAGGTTCTTTCTGTATTTTTTTCATCCTTCCCAAGTATAAATAAAAACAATTTTTACCCACTCTGTTTTATCTCCCAAGAAATCCACTTTTCTCAAAGGCATATGTTTTTTATTTTCCTCTCAGAATCTCTCTCTAACTTACACTAACCATAGCCACCATGGGCTTATATGGCCATTTTAAACAAATGGAAAAAAGCTGCCAAAAAATACTCTTTGTATGTTAGGGTTTTACAAAAGAAAGAAAGGCGGAGAGAGAATTCAAACAACCCACGTACAACAATCCCCACCTTGTATTGAATTCAGTTCACCTACTTGAAAACTCCTTCAAGCTTCTTCCCCAACACATTCCAAAGGGCATCTGCTCAACATCTTGGGCATATGTTCTGTAAGTTCAAGCACAACTTGAACTTCTTCGGTTGGGCAGTCTTGATCATCGTGTTAGCAGCATTCTTCTTGGTATCATTCTCACACTTGAAATTATACATTCTTCAGTGACCTTCCTAATGGTTGGTCTCACATGGTAGACTTGGTTCTTTGCTAAACATATTGCAGTTTGCCTATCACAAAACACCTTTGATTTATCCTTATATTAATCTAAGCTCACTCACCCTTCAACCGTATAGCTTCCTTAATTGCCTCGGCGGCTGCCATATACTCGGGTCACAATTGATCTAATATTTGATTGAATCAATTATAATTGACTTATTTGTAATTTTCTATTTATTTTTTATAGTTTCTAAAAATTTTATACTTACTTATCTTTCTATTTTGTCTTGAGAAAACGAAAATAGTTTTTATTTTTTATTTCCACTGTTTTTGAAAACTTTTTTCTCATCATTTATATATTTTTTTGTTGTTGTTGTCTCTTTTTTTTTGGCAATTTAAAGGTTTTTTATATGTTTTTTTATTATTTTCTCTTACTGAGCTTGGCGTGTACTTAGAGGTTTCACTCCCCTGAGTAGCCAGGTCAATGGCTGAGTTCCGTGGCTGGGCTGAGTTCCGTGGCTGAGCTGAGTTCTTAAACCTTGCTTCCACCTAACTAATCCACCAACAAGAGTGAAAACATAACAGTAGTGGAACTCCTTTTCTCAAGATCCTTAGCAAGAGCAACATCCATGAAACCCACGAGATTATCTTTCCTCATAACGTTCCTATAAAATATTATGCAAATATCTGTGGTACGTTTCCAAGTAATGAAGTATCCACTTAACTGCCTCGTAGTGTTCCTTTCTTTGATTTTCCATATCTGCTGACAACAATGACATGGGAGATGTCTGGTCTAATGCAGACCATGGCAATTATGATGTGCCCACCACACTGGAATATGGAACATGATACATATGCTCCTTATCTTCGTATGTGCTAGGACACAAATCTGAAAGAAAGCTTAAAAGTGAACAGCAAGAGGTGTACTAACAGTTTTCACATCTTAGAAATCAAAGCTTGAGAGAACCTTCTCAATCTAATTTTCCTATGATAATCCACAGCTTCCCATTCTATCTCTATAGATTTTCATGCCTGAAATTTTCTTTGCGTGCCCGAAGTCTGTCATTTCAAATTCTTTCCCAACTAAGTCTTTATATTTATCTATGACATGCTTTCTTCCAGCAATCCACATGTCCCCCACACGTAAGACTTGAATTATGAATGCATATCTTTGAAGCAAGCAGTACTTACTCATGGTGTACATTTGCTTTATCATGGACATGTAAAATCACTTGTACCGTTGTCTAGGAGATTACTTGAGGCTAATTAATGTGTTCTTCAATCTATGCATCACTTCTTCTTTCCCTTGCTTCACAAATTCTTCAGGAGGCTGATGTGTGTAGATTCTCTCATCTAGATTGCCATGAGGAAAGGCAGATCCTACATCTAATTATTCTTGATATAAATCATAACAAAGCAATCATAGCCATGGCAACCGAAATAAAAGTATATTTTACCATTGGTGAGAATATCTTATTCAAGTCAATGCCTCCTTTATCAGCATATCCTTTGCTATTAGTTAGGCTTTGTATTTTGTCTCCACCTTCAACTTAGCACCCTTATTTTGTCTTGAACACCCACTGGAAGCCACTTTCATTTCGTCCCACTAGCACCCCAAAATTAAAATAAAAATATTGCTTAAATAAAAAAATAAAAAATTAAAATTTATGGCTGTTAGATATGGCCTTGTGAATCTCAACAATTGGAAGGGTGCTTGTGCACCCTTCCACCCGTCCACATGATGTGGACGGGATACTTTTCCATTTCTCATTGCACACATGTCTAGATAATTTTAAAAAGTGGATTGTATATTTTTTAATTTTTAAATCACTTTACAAAATAATATATGTGTGCGTGTGTGTATAAAAATATAAAGGGCACTCCCTAAGCACTCCCATGTTGATATGATACATATATCAGGCCACCTCTTGATCAACTCCCCCACGTGCTCCCAAGGTAGGGAGCTTCAGCTAAGGGACGATCCCAGCCTCCCAATCCAGCTCGCACCTGCTCCCAATCCAGCTCGCACCTGCTCCCACTCCCACTCTCGCTCTCAACAACTATGCTTTTCTCGAACAATCATTAATAAAAGAAACAAAACATGAAGCTCGACCTTTTGATGCCATGGAGCAGACCTCCAATACAAGTGAATGAGTGTAACTTAAGACGACCTTAGTAACATGACTTTTAGATTGATTACCATAAATGCAATGCTCATGCAAGTCTGAGTTTCAGAATGTTATACCCCTTTTGACAGTTCTTGCGCACAATGTTCCTTCATGCCTTGTTCACTCAGTTGTCCTAAGTGCCATCTGTCATAGCTGTGCCTCATTTGCAAGGTTTGTATCTGAAGTAGATACGCCCACTTTGCGTACAAGCATTTTGCCCAGCAACCTATAGAAGTTTTCCATTTCTCTCTGCCTTCGTGATGACAAGTGCTCCCTTTATCACCTTTAAAATCCTGCCTTCCAACACTATTTTGCAGCCAATAGTGTCTATGGCACGCACCCAAGAAATCAAATTCTTTTTTAGTTTGGTGCATGTATGAAATCTGCAAAAGTGCCCTCAACCATCTTGATCCTAACTGTGCCTACAATTATTGTATTAAGACATTCTCACCATCGCATGATTTTATGTGTGAAACCACTCCTTAAGAGGACACATACAAAAACTGCAATTGGAATCAATAATACTTGACTTGGAAAAATAATCATTGCATGTTATAGGGTGAATCATTGTTACCTAGATTGTCTACCTTGGCCGGCGATCCCTTCTGAATTCTCGATCCTAAGATCCCGGAAAGGGATCTTTTAGGGATCACGTTTTGTTTGGAATTTATGATCTGGATGCCTTTTATAAGGGAACGAGTTCCGTCAATCATGTGTTTGAGTTCCCGGATTCTTTAACAAATGCTCGATGTTGGGCAATCCATTATCTAATAAACAATCATAAAATGCAAATTATTTCGTGTATATGGTTTTGGGCTATACTTTACTACATATAACTTTGTTGTTTGTATTCAACAAAAAAGATGGCAACACAAGCGGTACTTCACAAAAATAAACCTGCAGAAAGTATGCAAGTCATAATTTACTAAATAATTGTTGTTTTTTAATAGATTAATATAATATAAAAAACTATGGAACAATTTAAAGTTTCTTATTTATTTAATAAAATTTTAAGATTTAATATTATTAATTCAACAACGTTGGGAACTATGCAGTAAATCCAGAGAGCCCTATTTAAACTTACAACAGGGCCTCGTTTTTCAACTAAGTTGAGCTCACTTCTACTAAATTTATCTCTCACTCAATACTATGTTGGATCATTTTTCCTATTGCTCTGCCGCAGTTGAGGAATTCACAAACTTGTACTCAGGAACTTCGGTTCCTAGCCAATGGGTCTCGCTCCCAAATATTATAATACTTGATCTTAACTAATTGAGGAACTCGATCCCTAATACACATGGATCATGTTCCTTATGTTTGAGGTTGTGCGGACGTTGATCCCCATCATAGGGATCTCCTGGGTGCTTCCAGCTGTCGATCCCGGAACCGTTTCTGATCCTATTACCAACAACTATGGATTGGATATCCCCGTGACCACCATCAGCACTGCTTAGCTTGCTCAAAAAAGTCCACCTTTCCCTTCTTTTCTTTGAGCATTTTGCACCCCTTCTACAGGGGCCCTAATTTCTTACAATATAGTATCTCAACTTGCCTTTTCCTATTATTGTATTGAACTTAGATCTGCCTCTACATGATCCCTTCTCCATTGATCTTCCTATTAACCACCGGTGCCTCTGCCGATGCCTCCTTATTAATGAGCCCTTTTCTTATAAGATAAGATGGCTGCAATAGCATCCTCTGTTTCTGTATTATCTTTCATGCATTCGGGTTGCGACAAAGTGATCATAAAGAGCAGGAGGAGAGGTGAAAAACATGAGGGCTTTGTCCTCTTCCTCGTCTTTTGCATCTACACTTGTCAATTCACATGTAAATTATTGTACAGATGGAGATGATGAATAATTTGTGTACCTTCTTTCATGTTTACGGAGTGTATAATTTCTGCTTCAAATGTAGTTGATTTGAGGGAGGAGTGTATAATTTCTGCTTTAAATATAGTCGATATAAAGCTATTCAAGCTTAAACCAAAAAGCAGATGCTGAATCTTCCTCTGCCATATCTACATTGTAGAGAACTTTGGTAGAGAGGCACATGGAAGTAGTACTGGAAGCCCTCACATTCATATCCTCCCAATCTTCTTTTGACGTACTTGTAAGCTTTTCCTCCAGAGGTGTGTAGGTGCTGTTGTATTACTAGGTCCTTGTTCTACTCCTTTTATATCAAGAAACACTCTTCCCCTTAAACTTCCCAGTATTGTGGCTTTAATATGGCTTAGTTAAGAAAACTATATGGGAAAGAGAAAATACAACAACCAACATGAAAGAAGATCAAACCACACACAAAGCCAAAACTAGATTTACGTGGGTCGCTTCATCGCATAAGCTATGTCCACAGAAGAAGATGACCAACTCCACAAATCGCCAAAAAAGTTTGTGCACAGGTTTTCTTTGTATTTCTTTCTTCCCTCCCAAGCAGACAGAATTGATTTCATGCAATTTGTCCTCTGAAGAAACATCCTTTCCCAAAGGGGTGTGGGTTGTTTTTTTCCTTAAATTCTCTCTCTAACCTAATCTTAAGCCTATGCACAACGGAATTATATACCTACCCGGAACAAAAATACATGCCAAGAAAACCCTGTGAATGTCAGGGTTTTGCACAAGGAAGAACAGGGTAAACAGAGAATTGAAGACACCCCATGTACAACAGTTATGCCATCCTTACTTTTATGAACGGGTATTGAAAATGAATAAAATATTGTCTTTTCAACCAACTAGTGCTCAACTCCATTTGTTCAATTTTCTGAGGTAACTACAAAGTTCCCAGCATCTTGAAACCACATTTTATTGTATCAATATTTGTTTTTTCAGGTGAAATTGAAGGCAATGGAGTTAGCCAAGGAAATTGAGAATGAAGATGGTGTTGCTGCAGCAGTCGATGCCTTTCATAGACACTTACCTGAGGAATTACCCCTTCCTTCCCCTCCGACTGAAGAACCCCCAAACCCTTTTGATTGGATTTTCCAAGCTCTGCATAAGTGGTGTTGTCTTCCTTGTGGTGTTTAATATAATTATAATTTCAACTCTTGTATATTATCCATTCATTATTCTTTAGGCATTCTTGGGGTACAATTGTTTGCACAAGGAGCCCACTGGCGAAAACTGATGAAAAATGTATCTTGTAGCGAGAAATTCTTGCCTTTGAATTTTTCCTGTATATTTATTATATACACGTTTTCTGTATTTGGGATGTTTGGTGGCCTGTAATTCCTTTTGGCTTCCTCTAAGGTTGGAGAATGCTTTCAAAACCTTTTCTGGATTCACTAAGGAAATTGACAATAAGCAGGATGCCTGAAATCAGGATTCGCTTCATATTTCAATCCTTTATAAGATTTGATTGTTTGCGGGAGCTGTTTTCAGTTAATTAAGATAAGGCCTTAGGAAGTATGATTTGGTTGTGTGGTGAATCATAAGCAGGCGTATGATATTCCATTGTGCAGGGGGAATCTGGTGAAGAAATATGAAGTGGACAAATGTAAATCGATCATTTTGTGCTCGACTGTCCTCGAGCTTCACACCTCTTTAAGTAATATTCAAAATATGCCCTTCTTGAGTGGATTCAAACTTGGCTTGAATAATCTTTTTGACAGTTTTGCCATCCCCTTATCTAACCCATATCTCTATAACCTCTTCTGTAGAATCTGCAGAATCAAGAATGCTAACCACAAGGTTGGGTCTCTTCTGTAGAATCTGCAGAATCAAGAACCCTAACCACAAGGTTGGGTAGGGTCGAGGAGGTTAGCTCTTTAACCAAAATTATGATGGTACGATTCATTAGTGAAAGATATCAATGTCAGAAGATGACAATGAAATGTCCAAAAATATCCTTCCAACATGAGTTAGGCCCTGGTCTAGGTCTAGGCCATAGCTTTTTCTTGGGAAAATTGTGTAGACCCCTTGGACCATGCTTTATCGGTATGATGCTCTACAATACTATAAATCACATAACTAATCCGATTATTATTTATTTTTGCAGCAACCCCTCGAAGAAGGATGATAGGTTTATTTTGGATGAAAATAGCCCCATGCAGGTTCTTTCTAAAAATTTGGAAGTTGAAATTTGAGAGAGAAAAACAATTTAAAATTTTTCAGAGAGAAATTATATCAAATTTGAAGTTTTAAAGCCAAAAATTATCTCAAAATTTTAAGAGATTGTCTCAAAATTTTTGAAGAGAAACTTTCTGAAATTTTTGGAGATGCAATGTTGGGTTTATACATGGTACCCTTAAAACAAAGCCATTTTTGTATTTGGGGGTTTGTGCAAAAATAGATAGTAATTAGGTCAGTTGTGTGGTTTAAAAAACATTGGGGCACCATGCCTAGAAAGTATGGTCCAAGGGGTATACATAAATTTTATTTTTTACTATTTTTCCTGTCCCCCACCCAGATAAGGCCCTACCAAGGCCCTCTTTGGCCTGGTCCTGGCTGGGCCTAGCTTGAGCTTGCCCAATACGGATTGCGGCCATGGCCAGCCGAGGTCACTAGCCCTACGGAATACGTTGTATTAGGGCATGTTTTGATGATAGCTAATTTTAGCTAGGGTATAGTGGTCTGCTATCTTATATTATATTAATTTTCTCTGGCCTAATACTATTGCCTTAGCTACTTGGTACATACCTTATATTATTTATAAATAATATCATTTAATTAGTTTACTTTTCTGGTATTTGAAGTTGTTTTTGGTTTCTGATTTCCAGCTAATTACTGTGAATAAAGTAAAAATAGCCTTTCAAAAAGATAAATTTTTATGTACAAAAATTTACAAGTTTATCTCATACAACTTTATGTTGGGTACTTCTTAATAGTTAATTCATTATTAGGACTAATTTTATTAGTACAGTGAATTTAGTGATAACGAGTGGATCCAAATATGCTCTTAGTTTGTTTAAAGTTTATAACATTGTAAAAAGCAGTCGTTGTTTTTTGTACAATATCTTGACAATGTATCTTCATTGCAATCTCTCTTGTTTCGCTCATGTGCATAATAACCTCTTTACATATTCTCTTCTTCTTCTTTTTCTTTTAAATTTCTTATGGGATGATATCTCTACATCAGGAATACAATCTCAAATCTTCTATGTCATCTCCCTTAATGCCCCTTGAATGGTGTAATAGTGGTTATTCATTGTTCACTATCCTAAATTATCACGGGGAGAGAGGCACTCTAAAGCTTGTATATAAACAAGTTACTAAACTTCTGTTTGAACCAATTTGAGAGAGTTATTGGATGCTATAATTGTTTGTGAAAATGGTGTTGATTCTCCACATGATAGTTTGCATACCCTCGCCCACAAGGCACATTTGATAAGAAGGTGATTATTTTTTCCTTTGATGTTAACTATCAACTTCATTAAATAAAGGAACAAAGCTCCATAAGCGTAAATTTATCTATTTTAGAGGTCGCCTTTCTTTGGACTGAGTTGTTCTCTCCCTTAGTCATTTAAGTTTCATATGGGTATCATACACTGTCTCAATCAATGATTTAAAAAATGGATCGATGACCCAGATCGGGCACCTCAAAAACCGATTCGAATCGGGAATCGACTTAATCGATCGGATTAAAGCTTCAAAAAAATCCGAAAAATTTATTAAAACTCATTATAAATGTTGTTTTTTAGGAATCCAATAAAAAATGAGGGTACTACATTATTAACTTTCATTCTTTTATCAATTTGTGAATATTGAGATGTTCTTGCCCTGTATAAATTTATTTTAACTATTAAATTTGCATCACATAAAAGAAAAATCATAGAATTATCATGGATAAAATATATAATTATATATAGACTATTATAAAGAGTAGACTAATCAATGAAAGAATGGCCATTAAAATCTTGTTTTGGCAAAAAACCCTAACCCCCTAAACAAATCCAAACTATTACAGCCTAACTAACTATAATCCAAAATTATTACAACCTCATTAATTATAATATTATATACTAAAATTATAATTATTAGTTTACATTTTATAATTGTTTTATTAGACAAATAATAACAAATTAAAAATATTTTATAATATTATCTAATTTAAAATGTATTATTGACAACTGTAAGAAAAATAGTACATTACATGATTTACAATGCAAAAATTCATAAATAAAATAAAAGATTTGGTTATCAATGTAAAATGCGTACAAATTTTGGAAATAACACTTCAATTTTTCAAGAATTTATTTTTTTAAGTTTCTATAATAAATTTAGTAAAAGAGATTGTTAGTAGAAAGATGGAGATTTCAAATACAATAAAATTTTTATTTTTATTTTTTTTATACCTTTCATATTATTTACAAAAATAATTGTACCACTATATGCAATAAAAATTAACGGTTATATAAAAAATTAATTTTTTTATTTTTCATTTTTTTATGTCTTTTATATTATTTACAAAAATAATTATATTTATACCAACCACTATATATACAACAAAAATGCAACACATGCCCAAGGGATTTGAAAACAACAAAAATATTTATACCAACCACTATATACACAACAAAAATGCAACACATGCCCAAGGGGATTCAAATGCAACATATGCCCAAGGGATTCGAAAACAACAAAAATATTTATACCAACCAATATATAAACAACAAAAATGCAACACATGCCCAAGGGGATTCAAATGCAACACATGCCCAAGGGGGTTCGACCTTGGGACCTCAAGTAAAATATTTAAAGTCATAACCATCAAGCCATCTAAATACATATGATTATAAACTACTGATTAATAGACTATATTTACATTTCGTTTTCATTTAATAATGTTTGGGAATTATCCCACATCGAAAGATGGGTATTCAAATTTGGTATATAAATACCTATGCAATATGAATTATAAAATGTGTATAAAAATATTAGGACAACCTCGCATGTGCGTGTGGACACACGTGTGCCCGTGTGAGTGTGCGTGGGGCATGCTCGCACGTGTGCTTGGACACACGTCTGTGAGTGTGAGTGTGCGTGGGGCACGCTCACACGTGCGCTCAGACACATGTGTGCACGTGTAAGTGTGCGTGGGGCACGCTCGCACGTGCGCTCAGACGCCCGCGTGCGCGTGTGAGTGTGTGTGGGGCACGCTCGCACGTGCGCTCGAACACCCGTATGCGCGTGTTAGTGTGCATGGGGCACGCTCGCACGTGCGTGTCATGTGTGAACCGGGCGGAACCGTATGGGAACCGACGGTTCCACTAAAGAAGCAGGCTGAACCGAATGGGAACCGGTGGTTCCACTCTAGAATCGGGCTGAACCGGATGGGAATCGGTGGTTCCACTCTAGAACCGGGTTGAACCAGATGGGAACCGGCGGTTCCACTCTAGAACCGGGATGAACCGGATGGGAACCGGCGGTTCCACTCTACAACCGGGTTGAACCAGATGGGAACCGGCGGTTCCACTCTACAACCGGGTTGAACTAGATGGGAACTGGCGGTTCCACTCTAGAACCGGGCTGAACCCGATGGGAACCGGCGGTTCCACTCTAGAAACGGGCTGAACCGGATGGGAATCAGTAGTTCCACTCTAGAACCGGGTTGAACCAGATGGGAACCGGCGGTTCCACTCTAGAACCGGGATGAAACAGATGGGAACCGGCGG